CCGTATCAGTCATTAAGACAAGAGTTCGAGGATTAAGCATGCTGCTGCACGTGTATTTCTTAGGTGCGGCGTGCAGTTGGTATTTGTTGCTAGGCAACGGAAAGTGCATGAGCTAATTTTGTAAGCTAATAAAGTCCATCTTTTTTTATTCATATTACACTATTATTGACACTTAGAAAAGTGTTAAAGTCCGTTTTAGATTTGCAATTAGAACTTTAAATCCATGTCTCTGAGTACTTAAGGACACAAAAGTAGATATTAAAATACTTTCCTCTCACTGATATTTAAACTTAGATACCTAAATGTATAAGGAAAGTCATGCAGGAACCCTGGATAAATAGAAACACATGCAAAAATTCCTTTTTTTTTTCATTTCAAGAAAACAATTATTCGAAGGTTGGACGAAGTGGCTCATGCCTATAGTCCTAACATTTCAGAGGCTGAGGCAGGAGGCTGGCAGTCTGAATTCAGTGTGAAACTGAGTTCCAGTCTAGCCTGAGCTTTATTTTGAGATCCTATTGCAATAAAGTTATTTGGAAAGTTAAATTCCTTTAAGATCTAAAATTAGGAAAAGTCAGAAAGTAAACTCTCGGTAATTGCCGTGGGCTTCTCTTAGGGAGCGCTTATCTCTCTCTTTAAAAATTTCACGTTTATAATTTCATAACATATATAATGAATTTTAGTCACTTTTACCCCAAGTTACTCTGTCTTGTCTCCCTTCTTTCTCCCATAGAACCCCTTCTTACCAGCCTTCAAAAGTTTTCTTCATGGCCATGGTGGGAGGTTCCTTACCAGTGTTTATATGACACTAAACTGTTGCTATATACTCATTTGTTCAACCCCATGAAACTCTTTAGTATATGCGTGTAATATGTTGCATTCTGTTTGTATGAGGTCTTTGAAATTCAGGGCGTATCAGATACTCTCAGTATGTACCAATTAGACACAACCATCCCAGACAGCACAGTTCTGGTTAGCTGATGGTTAGCCTGTGTACTGCATGCTCTATGGGAGTGCGACTAATGAATCCTGTGATAGCTCCGAAGGTAGGTACTGCCGCGTCTGCTTTATAGGTGAAGAGTCCAGCACGTGGGGAGCTTAGCAATTGGCTACAGTGCATCTGAGTCTTGGTCATGAGGTTGTGACTTTGAGATAATGCACTGGGTTGAAATGAGGGAGATAGGAGAAAGCAATGTGACAGAATTCCGAGAGTCAATCGAAACTGAAGTTAGGACATGGGTGGCAGCTCAATGACAGCAGGTGACAAGGCAAGGAGAAATGTGCTTGAGAAATATAAAACATCAGGGATAGGATGTGGAGGAGAGACGAAAGATGAGCGTTCCACGTGAGTCATTGACACTGCACCTTTCCTTGTCACATACTAGAAACAGGGCGTGTTCTCTTCCTTGCATTTTAAATGCCCCTCAGCTATGTGGAGTTTGGAGAAAAGTGTATGTTGTTGCAACTGGGCTGAATTAAGGACAGAGCCCCTGGACGGCTTGATGCCGTGGCTTTGTTACAGACGTCTGTAAGATATTACTCCAGTGTCATGGATCATACGAATGTGTACAAATGGCAGTTTTCTCCTTTTGCTTCACACAATGTTAGAAATGAGCAAAACATGTTTCCCATTGCACTTCTCCGGCGCTTGGGGACCTGATGAACTCATTTTAAGTTTCCACGTCTTTATAAAAATGTTTTGTTTTTGCTGAAACGTGTTTTTGATCAAGAACATAATTTCATGATTGCGTATGTGTTTCTGAAATAGGTACGTATATGGGATAAGTGCACGGAGGCGGGGTCTCTGAGACAGACCCCAGGGGCCGGACTCTTTCGGTCCAGCCTCAGCGCAGCCGGAACTCACTAGGTGATCCTGTGAGAACTGGTTTCTACCGTTACTATGTTCCTGCTCTTTCAGTTACATATTTCTCACTTCAAAGAATGAGGAATGTTCTTTAGCAACTTCGTTCATTTTTTCGAACTATTTACCTTTTAGAGTTTGAATTCAATGCTGAACTTCAGACAACAACGCTATGTTGTTACATTTTTAAAGATATGGCTCATTTGTTCAGTCACAGAATCCAAATTCTAAGGTGTTTCTCACCCAGTTCATGTTTTGTAAAGTAGGTAAAAGGAGCCATAATTCCTATAATAATGATGGTGCAGGCTCGGACCACAATACTAATTTACATTTAAGAAATATTAGAACTCTTATGAACATTACACATATCTCATTAACTCCGATGACACCGGAGATAGACACTATAGCCAAAGACTACCTTCGTGGCTTCCAACAAATGAGATGTGGCTCCTCACACAAAAATTCTGATGGAAAAGTAATAGTGGCAATGTGGGCAAGTGATTTGTAATATGACAATAACAGACATCTCAGCTCATCTTCAGGGTACAGGATCCCAGAGAGGGAAATATGGAGCAGCATGCAAAGGGTATGCATAAGTAAGCTATCCTGGACAAACTGTGGTCTGACTGTGTGTATTGTTTCAGTTCTAGTGACTCTGGGTGAATCCTTATCCCTTGAAGAGACAACATGATTCCCAAGATAATTTTTCCTACGGGATATAGGGACAGTTTCAGCACCCACCACGTTGAGGTGATCATTCTGTTTTAGGTGATATCCCCATCATAAGGTTCAGCGGGCCTGTAAGGTTTCCCTGTTGCTGGAATTTAATGTGGCTGCATGCCAAGGATTCTGACTGGAGACCTGCAAGGCCCCTATGGGGGAGGGGTCAAGAAGCTGTAGAAGCTGGCAGCCAAACAGATTATTTGCTCTCTTCTCTATGTCTTCCTACTTGAAGGGGATAAGACAGGTTGTGTACATTTGGGCTTTGTCAGCCTGCACTACCAGATTTCAGGCAAACATTCCCTCAGCCAGTCACTAGCCTGAGTCCTGTTGGTCAGGAATCTGATCCGGAGTAAAGGAGTGATACAACATGGATACAAAGATGCCAGGCTTTCATAATGCTCTCTGTGGTCCTGTAACCCAATGGGGAGTCCATTTTCTTTATCCAAAGCAGTTTCTAACAGTTTGTTGCAATGGTCTTTCCATTTTTATGAATGAGAACATTAGCTTGCCCGCAATTGCAAAGCTAATAAGGGACTGGGTCCATAATTAAATCCAGTTCAAATTTGAAACCCTGTGCTTGCAGTAGACAGATGAATAAATGGGTCACAGACACAGCTGTGATGAGGTACAGTCTGTAGACATCCATCTTGGTATTCCCCAAAGCTCACACATTACTCGCTATCACACACACACACACTAAGTGTACCCCTGTACTATAGTTTCCACACATTTATGGTGCGTCAGCAAAGAGCAAACAAACTAGAAAAGCTGATTAATCTTTGTTGTACTCTTTTCTACCTTTTAAATTAACTCCTGTCAGCTTGGAAAGTTTTTCTAATAGAAACCCTCAAACTCAAGAAGCTGCACGGTATCTGGTCTGTATTGGTTTCTTTTAAAAAGTTATTTCTTTTGAGACTATAATGTAATTACATAATTTCTCCCTCTCCTTTCCTCCCTCAAAACACTACCATAAACCCCTCTCTGCTCTTTTTCACTGAAGGGAAATTCACATAATACAAAATTAACTATTTTAATGGGGATGGATGATAAAGTGGGAATGTCTTCAGGATGCTGCACTGTTTGCAAACTCTAACCTTTATATCTACTCTAATAATTAGGAGGAGTTCCAGGTTCCATCAACCTGAAATAAAGCCTTAGGACAGTTAATGACTTTCTTTACTCATTCCCAGTTGCTCTTCACCCCAGTGAACCCCTCTGCCCCCATCAATACGGATTTAACTGTTTTGCACGGTGTGTGCAAATGAAATTAAACAATGAGTGAGCTTTGTGACATCTGGTTTCTTTGTCTTGCTTGACTTTTCCAGGCCCATCCATGTTTTTAACACATATTAGTGTTCCTTTTTCACAGTAGCAGTGTTCTGTTTCATAGATGCAGCACAAAAGCCATCAACCAAAAGCCAGCTCTTGGGCCATCTTTCTGTAGATGTGGTCAAACCATATAGCAACAGTGTGTCTTGGCTGTCAAAAGACATCACTCAGCTCTTAAGGAAGGCAAAGAGCCTTATATATCTTGGTATACTCCAATGATGCTGCCATTTCTGAGCCAGAAAGCATGATATCTAGCTTAGAGAAGTCATAGATATCTATGATGACCATCTGGACTGGTACTACCTTTGGCTACTGTGTATATACATTTATTTGAGTGCTTGCCTGTCTCCAATTTCTGAGGAATTGTTTTATCATATGTTAATTTCCTGGTTAGGGTTTTTGAGGAAATACCAAAGTGTTTTGACAGCAGGTGAATCCATTTTTATCTACTCTAGTAATTGGAAGAAGTGCCAGTTTCTTTCCACAGTTCTGGTATTTGAGGCTTTTGTTGTTATTTGTGATAGCCCACACTCCTATAGTATGGCTCACATGACTGGGGTTTGGATTTTTATTTCCCTGATGATTTTCTCCATGTTTTCATATCCATATCAGCCACTTGGATATATTTGATTATAGAGATATATTAGAAATATATCTTTACAAGTCCTCTGTGCATATCGGTATCTGTTATTGAATTAAAACTGTTACTTGTGTATTGTACTCTAGCTACTAAATGTTTAGATACACGGACAGCGAGTATTACATGGCAAACATTTTATCCCATTCTGTAGAGCATCCTTCCAATTTCTTGATACTTATCTTTGATTTGAAAACATTTTGACTTTGATAAAGTCTGTTTTACTTTTAAACTTTTATTTGTTGATCTAGTTCCACCTTTGCTGAATGCATTTGGTAGCTGTTACTGAGTCTAAAGTTATGAAGATTTCCCCCCTATGTTTCCTTCTTCTAAGGATTTCATGGCTTTAGTTGTTACACTTAGAGTAGTGATTTATTTTGAATTGAACTTTGAATGCTGTATAAAATAGTAGTTCCTGTTTACTTCCGTTTCTCTCCATTTCTTTCCTAGGAACTCTCCAAAGAAAGGGGTTGCACACTTTCAATCTGACTTCTCTAACTAAGTCTGAGAACATTTTGTCAGCCACGCTGTATTTCTACATTGGAGAATTAGTGAACATCAGCTTGAGCTGTCCAGAATCCCAAGGATGCTACCATCACACTCAGAGACATCACATCCAGATAGATCTCTCTGCGTGGATCCTCAAATCCAACCAAAGCCAGCTCTTGGGTCATCTGTCTGTAGATGTGGTCAGACCTTATGGAGACAGCATGACTTGGCTGTCAAAAGACATCACTCAGCTCTTAAGGAAGGCCAAACAAAATGAGGAGTTTCTCATAGGATTTAACATTACCCCCAGAGCACATGAGCTTCCCAAGAGGATGCTGCTTTTCCCAGAGCCTTATATTTTGGTATATGCCAACGATGCTGCCATTTCTGAGCCAGAAAGTGTGGTATCTAGCTTACAGAGACACAGAGATTTCACAGCAGGAATTGTGCCCAGACTGGATAGCCATGTCAGAGAAGCCCTCTCTGTTGAGAGGAGGAAGAAGCGCTCTACTGGGATCTTGCTGCCATTGCAGAACAATGAGTTACCTGGGGCAGAGTATCAGTACAAGGAAGACGGAGTGTGGGAGGAGAGAAAGCCTTATAAGAGTCTTCAGACTCAGCCCCCTGAAAAGAGTAGGAACAAAAAGAAACAGAGGAAAGGGTCTCATCAGAAGGGACAGACACTGCAGTTTGATGAGCAGACCCTGAAGAAGGCAAGGCGAAAGCAGTGGATCGAACCTCGGAACTGTGCCAGGAGGTACCTTAAAGTGGACTTTGCTGATATTGGCTGGAGCGAATGGATTATCTCCCCCAAGTCATTTGATGCTTACTATTGCTCTGGAGCCTGCCAGTTCCCCATGCCAAAGGTAGCCGCTCTCCTTTACCGTGTGCTCACTTTATTTTTTCACGGGGTAGAAGAGTATGCTAAAAGTATGTTTTCATTTAGAAACCTCTATTCAGACCTTTACTTACAACATCCTAAAGTCTAAGATGATTGTTAAATGTAACACAAGGTGTGAAGACTATGAAAAGCATATGTGTACAATATGCAGTTTTTGTTTCCAAACATAGTGCCTATCCCAGCCGTGTGGTCACTTGTAAAGATACACCTCTCCACAATGAGCGGGCCCCAGATACCAGAAGTTGACCTCTGAGTGGTGTTCCAGGGAAGGAGGGATTTTGTGAAAGCAAGAGAAAGGGCTATCAGGTGTGGCATTCTGATGTAGAAGAGTATTGTTAGATAAACAGTTCCTGTGGGCTGAGCTGTCCTTGTTCAGGTCAAGATCAGGGTCTGGCTAAGTGAACTGTCCTGAACCCCAGCAGATGCTAACTTCATTTGCTTGACTACTAAACACACACTAACACACACACACACACACACACACACACACACACACACAAAGAATGCAATAGTGACATCTTCCCAGTCCCTCTCATCCTGTCTGAAATGACCTCTGTTTACTTCCTAAGTGTAAGGGACTGCATTTTATATTAGCATACTCTTCTACCACGTCCAATGACTCTATTTCAAAGCAAGTCCAAATGACAGCTCCCTTTGCACTAAACAGTACACCCTACAATAAAAGTTAGCTGCACCCTCCAGCATCCGGTTAGACTTACTGCTGCACTTCTGTCTCAGTTTTCAGCAGTTTAGACATGACACCACACAGTGGCCACATGGACAGAATGTAGAAAAGGAATAGAAACATATTTTGAATAAAATATGAATCAGTCCGTTGCTGCTGTCTAAAAATAGATAAAATGTTCCTTTACTTCCTAGACTGTCAGTTTCACTTCAGGGGTCCTTATTATTGTATTGATATTCTAAGATCTATTCCTAGAATCCCGGACTGGCATGCACATAGAAAGGGCTATATACAAGGGCACTTCAGTCCCTGGGCCAGCAACCCATCTGAAATCCTATTTTCCTCATTAGTTGTTTCAGAAAGATGAGCTTTGTACATTCCCTACAAAGTTGTCTTTCCGGGGGATTTTTGTAACTTCTTATTTTAAGAATCCAAACATGGGCAGCTAAAGAAATGCAAAATGGCTCAGTAGTCAAGAGTGCTAGCTATTCTTCCAAACATCCTAAATTGAATTCCTAACAAGCACATGGTGGCTCACAAACATCTGTAATGGAATCTGATGCCTCTTCTGGTGTACATGAAAACAAATCACACACACACACACACACACACACACACGAATGATAAATAAATAATTCTTTAAAAAAGAATCCAAACATAAAGTACGGATTATGAGTTAAGTGCCCTATCTTATCTGAAGAACTCTAAAGGTTTTTCACTGCTTGGACAAAATTTGTTCAACTGGGATGACACTAAGAAGGTGAATATACAAAACAGAGATGTGTCCTATTTTACAGTATTGCTCGCTTTGTGACACTGAGAAGCTGGGATGTGATCCAAAGCTGACTTTAAGTCAGTGACTGATTTAGGTAGGTCTTAGGGTTATTCCCATAAGTTGAATTTCTTCTAGGTAGCTTAAACAAAAATATCTTCTGTTCCTTCCTCACCACAGTCTCCAGGCTCCAGAAACCACACAAGTGTAGATGCTCTACCCTTTTGCATCATCCTCCAACTAGAAATGTTTCCACTTCTCTAGTCTTTCCCAACTTGTGTTCCTCGGCTTCCTTGTACTTCCTTTTACTGTTTGTGAACCTACTGTCTCTTTAGAAAACTTCACTGTGGTTCCTAGTGATGAAAAGAAATCATCCCTCGAAGTTGCCAGGGGATAAGTTAGTAACCACAGAGATAAACTTAAGGAGAGGTGTACGTTAGAGCATCTGCAGAATTAACTAATCATGCTTGGTCATAGCGGAAGTCAAACAGCTTGGGATTGTGTTCGTACATAGAATCTGATGCCGTGCATATAAAGAGGAGGCTACAGTGGATTCTGCACATCTAACAGTGTCCAAGGTTAAGCTGCTGGTTCACAAAAGTCTCTTTAGAACAGCAAAGTAGTTAGTTCCTTTTGGCTTGGATGTTGGTTCCACATGACTAAACAATAATGACCTCTTAGATAAGTCGATAAAACTTTCTACATATCAATTTTTCTTCAACACAGGGAAGAAATGAAGTACTAGAAAAGACTGCATTGAATGGGCACTCTGTAACTATCTGCTGTTGATCTATCGAGTAGCCCTTGAGGACAGCAAGTAGCAGAGTAGAGTTAGTTACACTGGTGTCTAAGGAAGTCCCGCATAGGGAAGGCAACTATGCAAAGGAAAATCACCAGGCAAGAAAGGTTTTGTAAAATTTTTGGCCCCTTTTCAAACATCACAAAACTAAAAAGAGGATTTTCCCTCTGGGTTCAACAGCCCACGAGCTCTTCCAGGGAGCTTCTTCCTGGTTCCAGAGAGCGTTTTCCTTGGGGAGAACAGAATGAAAAGAGGACCTGTTGTGGTAATCAGACTGATCATATTTATTGAAACTTGGAATGGCAACATGTAGGGGGGATACATGTGGAGGTCTTTTCTCTGAGGTTGATATTTCCCCTTGCCAGGTTGAGAGGGGAAGTTTGGTGTCGCCTTGTGTGGAACTGCTTGACTTTTAACGTGTGTTAGGGGGTTCCCTTTAAGCTCTCATGACTGTATCTTTCAGTCAGTACAGTACCAAAGCAGGATGGGAAATATGGTGTAAAGGAAAGGGGTGATTAATATGTACTGCTGTTAGCAAGTGTCTGGTATGGCATCCAGAATGGGATATTTAAGTAAAAATATAGTCCGAGCAGTAGAGGAAAATGAAGGTCTCTCTTCAGATCAGCACAGCACACATGGGTTGACTGAAGTGCCAAAGAACTCTCAGATTTTAGATATACATTTTGCCTCAGAGGAAAGTTCTCCCGGGCCAGAATCCTCTGTTTAGGGGCCTCCTGTTTTTGGCCTCCTGGGCGAAAGCCTATATGGCGGGATTCTTTGTCTGCAAAAGTCGACAACCTGCTCTATAATTCAGAGCAGCTGTGTTCTGCCTTTCCCAAATTCCAGGCTTTGCCCTTTCACTGATTCCAATTAGATAGTTTCTGGGCCATCACGCCCATGTGGGCTGGACTGGAATAGTGTAGAGGAAACCTCATGGCCCGGGTCAGGAATGAAGCTCTCAGCCGATGACATACTCTCCCCTTCTTATGTACTGTGATCAGATTTAACTAGAGGACAGCATCCACAGCTTGGCAGGTGCAAGCATGGCCCCTGTAGATTTCATTCACAGACACAACACTTGGGATTTTTCCCCCTGATTGCCAGTTTGTACAGCCAATCTGTTCTCCTCGAGAAGGACTCTCGGAATGATGCCACATGATGAAAAAAAAATACCCAGATAGGCAGAGCCAAGTTCTGACCTCTGCCTCCTTCACCACCTTAGCAGCAATGGAAAACAGAAATTTCAAATGAAAATGATTGAGCCATTGTTCCTGATAGAGATCCAAAAAAACAACAAGGGTTAGAGAAATGAAGTTAGTTCTGCAAGAACTGTGCAAAAGCTGGGAACAGCAAAGATACAGCGTTAGGCAACGCATCATTGAAATACTTTGTAGCAAGCACTCCATATAAAGTGATTCACATTTAATGAATACAAAATGATGGGCGCTTAAAGATCTTCCAGTTGTAGTCTTGGTCACGAGGACGATCACCCTCAACACAAAGTTTGACCAATCTCAGCAAAGTTGTACCTGAATGGTGGCGAAGGTGCACCCCGACGTTAAAAAGCGTGGTGGGTGCAGGGAGGAGCTCAGATTTGCACTTGTATCAGCTCTAAGCTTAGAAGAGAGAGTCATGAGGAACATGATCCTAGCTGGAAAACAACAGTTCTTCCTGGCAGCATGCTTCACACTAGCAAATGACAGCATGGATTACTTATGCATGATGTGAGTATTTCTGGTAAGGGTAGCTCCATCAGAGGATTCCATAGCAAGAAAATAGAGGCCACTCCCTAGTCATCTGAGAGGTCCCTGATACAAAACACCCCAGAATTAAGGTCTTGGGCCTGATTCTGGTGAGCCCACTGGAGATTTCTCAGATATTCATTCCTAAACCCATCCGTTCTGACTTGGAGAGAAAGAGAGAAAAAAAGAGACAGGAATTTTCCCTAGGTAACACCCATGAATACTTTCCATATCTACATCAAGTCACTTGCACAGAACCTTTTATTTTTGTTGATAGGAGTTATTCCTCATAAATGGGTAAGATGGAGGGTGTACTGTTTATTCTAAGTATTTCAGCCACTTAACAATATTGCTACGGTGTCTAGATACACTATTCTAGGCACCGAGGGAAGTGGCACATAGCCATCCCAGTTGCTCAAGTACTCATTTAACTAAGGCCATCTACACTACATGACACTCAGCCATTAAACATTAGCCATAAAGAATAACAACAGACAAACTGGCTTTAACTGCCTCTAACACTTTAGCAGCAAGCTGTTTGAAAGGCTGAATCTTTTTAATAGCTTTCAGTCAATAGAAGAAGTAGAAACCAACAATATTAACGCCAGCATGTGCCCCACTGTGTTCCAGTGCTAAAGGCAGTTGGTAAGCTGCACGGACTCATGGAGGTCTTTTGTTTTTATTTGTAACTATTAATTATGTGGAATAATGGGAATCACTGTGACATTTTCATAGATGCTTGAATCGTCTTTGGATCCCACATTTTGTTCTAATAATTTTCATCCAGTAAAGTCAACACATTTTAATACAGAGCAAACAATATATAAATTACAAATACTGGGAGTTTATAAAACTCAAGAGGAGAATAACTTGTTTTGTAACCAATTAGAACTGATTATTTAATTAGCTAATTAAAGCTATTCTTAAAAACACATTCTTCAAGTTACTAAAAAGCAAGAGTAGAAACAGCCCTGTACTGTTGACAGTAGATTTTAAAAATTATTTTACAAAAATTGAAGTGTAGTATATGAATTCTTTTCACTGAAATTAAAAGATAAAGAGTGATTCAGATAGCATTTCCTTCTTCTGCCAGCACCTGTACTTTCTTTGACTTCCTTTGATTTTCTGACAGGACATCAGCTTCTTACATCTCCTTCTGTTCCTTAGACCTGGATGCACTGTAACCCCCTAACTTCACCATGTTCCCACCCTGGTGTTCTTTACAGGCTGGGAATTCCAGTCCCAGTTTATGAATCTAAAAGGCTCTGAGCCATAAGAAATAAGAGTTTTAGCTGAAATAAAATTGTCCACTTTGGGCAAATTATTCTTCTGTGTTTTATTGTTGGGTTTTCTTTCAGCAGAGAGCCTCATGTTACCCTGGAATGACTTTCAGCTACCTGCAGAGCTGACGCTGGCCCTGAACTCCTGAGTTAGGATTACAGGATTGTACCACATGGTCAGCCCGGGTTTCTTTTCTTTTCTTTTCTTTTCTTTTCTTTTCTTTTCTTTTCTTTTCTTTTTTTCTTTTCTTTTTTCTTTTCTTTTTTCTTTTTTCTTTCTTTTTTTTTCTTTTTCTTTTTTTTGGTTTTGTTTGTTTTGTTTTTTGAATGGCAGCTGGGGATTGAACCCTCACAGATAATGGGCAAGCGTTTTTGAGCCACAACCCCAGTCCTCAAATTTCTGTTTCTAAACATGTTTAAAACAAAACTAATTACATCCACCAAGGAAAACTTATACTAGGAGAGTTGTGTTTTCAGGCATTGCGGCTTCCCTTCTGGAGTTCTGACTACTGTGGCCTTGAGATTGGGAGTGTTTTCAATACTTCTAGGGAGGATAGAGCTGTACATGGCTGTCTAAATAAAATACATTCTCTTTTCTCAGGGAAGAGATTGAATCAAGGCTTCCTTGGTCAAACTTCTGTCATCCATGTGAAAAGCTTAGACCCCCATACTTTATTCCCAAAGGACAGGCATGGTCCACCTTAGACTACCAAGCCACCCAGTTTAAATTGCCCATGGCACAACAGTGACCCCCAGTGGTCAATGATGTGGTCTTGTCAACCCCAGGCTGTAGTCTGAGCTGAATAATTGTATAATATGAATGAAAGATTAATTCTTTTGACAACTACAAAATAACTTAATAATTGGCCTTTATTTCACCTAGTTTAATTTTAATAACAGTGAACAAATTCTCCTTTGTAGTTGATGATGGTAACTGCTAGTGTTGTTTATTGGAGTTCTTTAAAGGTTCATAGAGGTTCAGGGACAGTTTTGTTTTGTTGTTGTTTTAATAGAAAACATGGAGAATTCATTAATTCCATGGTTGGGGGCTAAGTTGTTTCTAATTAAACAATTCCTGCTAATAAAACGGAGTTCAAAGTTTCGTTGTACTTGCCAGCTGTTTGACTTCAGACATGTCATTTAGCTTTCTGAGTCTCTGGGAGGAAAAATGTGACCAAATTTTTGTGAAGATTAAAAGCACCATCTACAGAATTCCCGGACTGTAGCAGGCACTCTATAGATGATATACATCCCCGGAAGTAGATGAGTTTGGGCTGAATATTCAGTGATGTAGGCCTTTCCCGGACTGTTCAAACAAATCTACTGTATGTGATGAGACCCAAGGAGAGCGGTTTCACCTAACGTGTTGCTCTTATTTCTCTTCCCAGTCTTTGAAGCCATCAAATCATGCGACCATCCAGAGCATAGTGAGAGCGGTGGGGGTCGTCTCTGGAATCCCCGAGCCTTGCTGCGTGCCAGAAAAGATGTCCTCGCTCAGCATCTTGTTCTTTGATGAAAACAAGAACGTTGTGCTCAAAGTCTATCCAAACATGACAGTAGACTCGTGTGCTTGTAGATAACCTAGCCGAGAACTCACCCAGACGCTCCATTCAATCATTAGTTGGGTTTTTGGACTTCTTTATTTTGCACTGCCAATGCATTTTGTTCCAAAAGATGTTTTATTGCAGAAAGAAAATGAACAAATAGATTGAAGATTTTCCACCAAACAAAACCAGACTGGATTTTCCTTTGAATGTAACTAAAAGTAAGATTTTAGTAAATGTGGACATCTATTTCTTTTTTCTTAATCACATAAGAAAAAAAATGTTACTCAAACTGTTTTCAGAAGTGTTAGAGAACACATTGACTTATTTTTGTATTGGGCTTTAAGACTAGGTAGCAATAACTTATCATTTGTCACTACTCATATAAAGATGAAAGGGAAGTAGATAGGAATCTTGTAATTCTTTTCGTTGGGTTTCTTGCCTTAGGCTCCTGAGCAGTCAGAAACTGCTAAACACCCATCTGACTTTGACATTCAACAGGAAGGTTTCTGAGACTTGTTTATCCTCGATTTTTCTCCACATTCATGGTGTGAGACGAGTCAGTGTGTGCAGAGTGCTAGTGTGAGTGTGCACATGCCAGCTCGCTGTACCTCTTGTAGAACAAGAAAAGTTTCCTTAGTGTGGTTCTGTAGCTCCATCTTCATGGCATTCCCTTTTCTTTTTCTTTTTTTTTTTTTTTTTGTCACTATCATATTCTGGCGAGCACCATCCACTGATGATTGCATGATCCAAGAGTCTACGCCAAGAGCAACGTTTCACTGATTGGAAATACAGATGTTTTCACTGCCTTGACTCCCAGGAAAAGAGAGCCAGAGGCTTCATTTTTGAAACCCGGGTGTAGTTCTTCTATATCTTTTTCTTTTCTTTTTTCTACACGTATTGTCATTTGCTCTAAGCTAATTTAGGAAGTGCTTCCTGTAGTTATTAGCTTTCTAGTTTTCTTTCTAATACACTCTCTCTTCATGTGGTGTTGTTCATAGACGTTGAGGCTTACAAGCTGTTGTTAGACATGACCAAGTGAATCACTATCTTGTGATGACTATCATGGTCCACATATGTTTCTAGGCTCTTCTGCACAGAGATCAAGATACTGTCCTCAGTCACGGACCCTATACTCCAGCAAAGCTTGCTAAAAGTTATTCACCAGGAAAGAGTCAACACAGACACAGTTTATTTCCATTTCCACTTGTCATAAGTATGTCATCTTTGATTTCTGCCTTTGAAAGTTATTTTATCTTTCACTCACAGACTGGTAAGGTATCTCAGTGGGCAATGGTGCTTGTTACCAAACCATTCCTGGAACTCACATGGTGGAAGGAGAGAATAAGATCCCATAAGTTATCCTTTCGCCTCTACACACACACACACACACACAAAGCCACACAGAGAGAAAGAGAGAGAGGGGGGGAGGGAGGGAGGGAGGGAGGGAGGGAGAGAGAGAGAGAGAGAATTTTTAAAGATCTTTTGGTAATTATACTGATCTGAAAGATGGAACTGATCTCAGGCTGTGGATGGTTGGTGGCTTTGTCTCTGAGGACACTCCTGATCTTAGGTCACTCTTATATGATGATTAGATGTAAGTACTCCATTTTAGAGCCTGTATGAGATCAGAATGTGTTTTCCCCCATCTCTGCCTATAACTATCTACAGCTGTCCAGTTGTTATGAAATACTGGTTGAATGTACAATGTTTGAATGGCACTGCAACCCCCATGGGTAAAGCAAGAGGCTGATTGGTTCAGCGGGACATTCTGAGAGTTTGGTTTCTAAGATGAACTGTTTCTTACATCATCTTTCAGGGATGATGATAAGCAGATACAGAAATATTGCAAGTATCTCTATTCCTAAATCAGATGAAGCAACAGATACAGTGTGCAGTATTCTATTTGAAGGTTATTACATAAGCCTGCCAGGCAAAGTTCTTTTCACTTTGAAAGGCCCTATTATAGTGTGGATTGTCCTAGCTCTCAAGGAGGCACAGGGTTTGAAAGACTAAGTATAAGGACCAAGGTTGCCCATATTCCTCTGGTTCTTTCCCTTTAACATAAAGTTATAGACATTCAAATTCTGGTGGGGAATAAAATTACTTTTTAACAAAAATCCTGACAAATTTGAAAGCAAAATACATAACAGAGACACCAAGCTACATATTCATGAGTCTTTCATTGTATAAAATTTATTTTCCTGAATAGATTTGATGAAACTCTTTATTTCACTTTTCCTAAAGATATACCAACCTCAAACCCTAGCAACTCTTTGTATCACTTCTCAACCTTTTATATTCAATTTTCTGTTGTCTTTTAAAACTCAAATCAATTCCTACTTTTTGAGTATTAAATCCTACAGTGTGGTCACGTCTTCTTGATTATAAAAGTCCTTGAGTACCGACCAATTAATATCTCATTTTGATTAGTGACAAGCAAGTGAAAAGCAGCACACACTGAGCTTTGACATTTTCTCAGCAATGTGGCAGAGCGAGGTCACCGACTGTTGTTGTAAACAGCGGCTGGCCATCCTCTCAGCATGTCCTAAGTTGGAGGGACAATAACATGTACATGGAAAAGATGACTCCTAGTTGATGGAATTAAAATAAATTAGATGGCGTTTTAATCAATAAGGCTTTATTTAGGTGCAATATTAAATAAATACCTGGTCTGCAATGTGTTAGGTACGAATTTCCATACAAGATTTTAAGAATTCTCCTATACAATTTTGGGGTTGATGGGAAAAAGCTTTACATTTTGAAATACTATTTCCTAAATAAATTCTGCTTGCCTTATCTCTATTTCTGTCTCTCACTCCCTCCTCAACATCATTCTTCCTCTGTTCCCTCTCAGACCATGTCCTAGCCATTCTTTACACACACACACACACACACACACACACACACACACACAGAGAGAGAGAGAGAGGGGGGGGGGACAGAGGGAGAGATAAAGAGAGAGAGAGAGAGAGAAACACAGTCTGTGACTGAAACAGAAACAGAGACAAAGACAGACATTTAAGAAAATATTTTTTTAAAGTCTACAAAAATGCCACTGGGTTGGTTTGTTTTGACCATTGATTCCTGAGCATAGGGCTTACCATGAAGTCTGGTTAATATACCCAGTGACACTCTATTGGGGAAAACTATTTTTTCCTTTGCAAGTGGGCATCACTTGTCGGCAGGTTCTTTGTTAGGGGTGGAGCCTGTGTCTACTTCCCATTTGCAGGTCTGGGACTCCATCTGGCTCAAATCTATGCGTTCTTTTTCTGATAACAGTTTCCTAGAATTCTAGCTAAGTGATTCCCCATACTCATGCAGTATTTTAAGAATTCTTCATTGTAACCTGTGTGAATAATATATAATTTAAGGAATTTAATGCTGTAGAATGAAACTGGAAGATTGAATGTCTTGACTTCAGGATTGCAGTATTCCAGGTTAAATCCTTCCTTAGCTACGTATTAACTGATGGTCATTTATTCACTAACGTAATGTTTTACTATCTCTGTATAAAATTTGTATTAACCATTTAATACTTCATAAAAAAAATCATGAGTGACAATATCATCAGTCTGACTTATACAATGTTTAGGTGACTACACTATTCAGTTCATCTTGAAGCTTTCCATTTTCTCTGTGCTACCAAGTAGTGAATGTCTAAGCATGCTGAATCAGGGTTGGGTTAGAGAATAGCTATGCATTCCTGACACATAGGGATGAATAAGCAACTAAGTAAGAAACCTTGAGTAAATCAGATTTCTCAGTATTTTAACATGGCTTTCGAGTGATAAAACAATCCCCCCTTTCTAAAGATGAAGCTTTCCCCTCAACTTTTCACACTAGTTTCTGTAAATGTTTTAGCTGAAAATTTAATGCTTGTACAGTCAATGGCAATTGGAATATATATTATATGTATATGGAAAAAGTTTAAAGATGCTTTTAATTTATTTAATGACTGTGGCTTTTCTATATTGGTAATGGTTTTCTTCCATACTAGGTGAGAAAAACATCTTTTTTACTACAGTTCCTAGATAGGACGTGACATTTAGTTCCTTAGTCAGGTCCATTCCAAGGGTGTGGCAGTGTAACTGTGAAGGGTCCTTCATTACTGATGTGTTAAGCTTTCCTGAACTTGTATCATTCTCCTCCAGTAACAAAGACCTTTCATCCTATATTACAAAAATAAAAACAGCTCAATTCAACATTTTTCCATTCTTTGCTTTTTCCTGAGGAAGGTTTTAAAAAATGTTTCTCACTGTGTTGCATTTGAAAAAAAGGACATACCCTGAGATACAAAGTTAAATCTTTCAAAGGGATTAAGTCTTCAATGAACAGAGCATCCCTCACTTCTAATCAATAACACATGATCAGCATCTTAGAACATTTAAGAAACATACCCAAAGGGGTAAAACATGATCAGTATCTTAGAATATCCAGAAATACACCCAGAGGGGGAATATCTTAAGCCTTTGCCACTAGAAACCTTTACCTTGATTCATTTAAAGGTTTCTTCCCTCTGTAAACAATAAATTCTAAATGGTGGTGGGAATTTAGGTTTTTAATTCTTCCTGTTACTTGTCTGGTTTACTATCTCAATGATAACTTTGTTTCTGCATCCATGATTAACATGTATTGTCCATGGCGGAGTGGTAAGATCTAAATATAAACTAGTCTGGACTTTGAGACGCTGTTTAAATTGCAAAATGCTCTTTAATTAAAAAATGGCCTGAGGTTGTGAAGTAAAACATACTTTCCTACTCTTCTGAGCCTATGCAACCGTGATGTAGTGAATCCCAGGCCAGCTGAGACTAGAAGAACTTAGGATTCTTCTTAAGCAAGTGCTTTGATCTCACATAGCTTCATTTATCTTACATATAAATCAGATAATAAAACCCCCGCCTCTTTATCAGCCTTCCAATTGAAGGTTAGAATCAAGATTATACAAAGAACTTGAAAAACTAAACACATACGAACTGAGAAAGAGAGAGAGGGAGGGAGGGAGGGAGGGAGGGAGGGAGGGAGGGAGGGAGGGAGAGAGAGAGAGAGAGAGAG